TGAATTTTGACGCTGGGCCTATATGCAATTTCCAAGCATCTTCGCAGGTTTTAAATTCAATCTACCCCACAAAGGCCTACCATTTCTTAAAGTAGACACCCCAGGGTGTTTCAAAAGGTATAGTTTGAACCTTAGCGTGGGATCATTTTTCCGCTAGCTTGTACCAGATGTAGTGGTAATAAGCGTTTTTTCTGCCTTTTTGACATACAAAGTGAGTTTGCACAGTATATTTTGCAAACCTTATGTGTGCTACGACTGTATAATACTTCATATGTTGCTCAGCTATGTCGGCTGAGTACAGCAATACCCCCGTATGTACCTTTGCCAGTATGTGTGGACATCGGAGGGGCACATTTGGGACACAGCCATTCCAGTTTTTTTTCAAACTTTGAATTTTTATGCTGTGCCTATGTCCCATTTTAGAGTATTTTACCAGGCTATATAATCCAAATTCCCCATAAAGCCATACCATTTCTTAAAGAAGACATCCCAGGGTATTTAAAAAGGCATATTTTGAACCTTAGTGTGGGATCATTTTTCCGCTAGCTTGTACCAAGTGTAGTGGTAATAAGCATTTTTTCTGCCTTTTTGACATACAAAGTGAGTTTGCGCAGCATATTTTGCAAACCTTATGTGTACTATGACTGTATAATACTTCATATGTTGCTCAGCTATGTCGGCTGAGTACAGCAATACCCCCGTATGTACCTTTGCCAGGTATATGTGGATGTTGAAGGGGCGCATTTGAGACGCAGCCATTCAGTTTTTTTCTAACTTTGAAGTTTTACGCTGTGTCCATGTTCCAATTTGGAGTAGTTTAGACGGTTGGTTATTGAAACTTCCCCACAAACACATACTATTTATTAAAGAATACACCCTGGGGTAATTCAAAAGGCATATTTTGAACCTTGGCGTGGGATAATTTTTTCTCTAGTTTGTTCCAGGTGTAGTGGTAATGAGCGTTTTTAAAATGTATTTTTTTACTTTTTATAACTTTTTTACTTTTAAAAACTAGTTTTTAAACTTTTGTTTTGCTTATAAAATTTTTTTAAACTTTCCTAAACTTTCTTAAAACTTTTTTACAGATTTAACATTTTTCTAAGCTATTTTTTTTACTGTTAACCCCTAACTAGCAGTACGCAGCACTAACAGTAAATTCCCCATTTTCCCATAACTCCCACCCACCCCAGCTAGCAAAATATATAGTTATAAAATATTTAAATTAATTAATTAAATAAATTGAACCCCTGAGGGTTAAAAAAAATAAATAAAAGTTAATCCTCAGGGGTTAAAAAAAATTAGATCACAGTATAATACTGTGATCTCTATTTGATCGCTGTATGCAGTGATCGACTGGCAGGGAAGGGGTTAATTTTTATTTGGACTAGGTAAAGTGTGTTTTTTTGTTTTTATTACTTAAATGTTATTAAAACATTTTTTAAGCTTAATTTTTAACTTTTTAAAGTTTCTTTTAAAACTTTTTTTAACGTTAACCCCTAGTTAGCCTAACGCCAAATCCCCCAATTCCCCACTAACTTCCACCTACCCCAGCTATCTAAATATATAATTTAAAAATAATTTAATTAATTAATTTAATTAATTTAACCCCTGAGGGTTAAAAAAAAAAAGAATTAACCCTCAGGGGTTAAAAAAAAAAATCAGATCATAGTAAAATGTAATCCCTGCCAATTGATCACTGTAGTCAGTGATCAATTGGCAGGGAAGGGGTTAATTTTTTATTAAAATGGGTAAGGGGGGGGACACTTTAAATTAACTTTATTTTTTTTACAGCAGGGGGCAGGATCAGCACTGATCCGGCTCCCTGCACTTCACACAGAACCCGGAAGTGCAGGGAGCCGGTAGGTAAGTATTTGTGGCTCGACTTGTGGTCAGAGCGAGCACATGTGCTGGGCAGCTTGACCGGGTGCTCCCGGTATGCCTCCAATGCAGAGGCATACCGGGAGCACCATTAACCCCGCGATCGCCGCGATAGCGGCGATCCGGGGTTAATTTTACCGCGTGATGGACGAGGTCCGTCACCCGTCGTTAAGGGTCTCCCCTGTGTGACGGACCTCGTCCGTCACCCGTCCTGAAGGGGTTAACCTTTCCTGGTAAATTTTATCCTGCAATCCATGAACCAGGTTAGTAGTCCTTCTCTGAACTCTCTCTAAAGTATCAACATCCTTCTGAAGATACGGTCTCCAGTACTGCGTACAATACTCCAAGTGAGGTCTCACCCGTTTTCTGTACAGTGACATGAGCACTTCCCTCTTTCTACTGCTAATACCTCTCCCTATATAACCAAGCATTCTGCTAGCATTTCCTGCTGCTCTATTACATTGCTTGCCTACCTTTAAGTCATCAGAAATAATCACCCTTAAATCCCTTTCCTCAGATGTTGAGGTTAGGACTCTATCAAATATTCTGTACTCTGACCGTGGGTTTTTACGTCCAAGGTGCATTATCTTGCACTTATCCACATTAAATGTCAGTTGCCACAGCTCTGACCATTTTTCTAGTTTACCCAAATCATTTGACTTATCCCTCCTGGAACATCAACCCTGTTACATATCTTAGTATCATCAGCAACTAGATGGATTGACTAGATTGTTGACCCACGCACGGTCACTCTCACGTAACGCTTTGTCTACCAACACCAAAACAGCCCATGACAGGGCTTTGACTGTGTTTCACAAATTTTGTGGGGAGTTCCACGTTTCAGAGAATTATTCTATCGAGACCATGGTGGCTTTTGCCTCCTTAAACTAGCACATAACACTATTAAATTATATCTTACAGGCTTACAGCACCATGTCCTCACTACCTTCCCCAATCACGCACATTTTCTTTCCACATACCCCATAAAATCTATTCTCAAAGGCATCAACAAAATAGATAGACCTCCAACTACCAATAGATTACCCATAGACAGTACTATATATAGGAACATGTCAGACTTATTGGACACAAATCCCTTTAACACCCAGACTAACTCTCATCAAAGTAGCCATTTACCTCGCTTTCTACGGCTTCCTCAGACCCCGAGAGTTTACTGTGATACGTCAAAAGGATATCAGATCCTGTTTAAAACTATCGGACATAACCAAACACGGTGACCATTACGTGATATCTCTACACTCATCTAAAACCAATCACACAAACTACCCAAATACAATCCCTCTGTTTCCTACAGAGAACCTCTGGTGTCCCGTTAAAATACTTGACTTATTTCTATCCACAAACTTAAGTCTCCCATCTAACTCGCCCCTACTACTTCTTCACAGACACCCACTTACCACTTCAAAATTCATAACCCACATTAGAACACTACTGCTAAGATTGGGACATAACCCTGCCGCTTTTTCCGGTCATTCCTTCAGAATTGGGGCAGCTTCCAGCACGGACACTCCAGTCCATATTTTCAAAAGACTGGGCAGATGTAAATCCTCTGTTTACAGCACTTATATTCCACATCCTGAGAAAGAAATCAGGAAAGCATTCAAAGGTCTAGCGTTGTAAATTATGAATAAAGTGTGTTTTCTGCAATATCTTTTGCCCTCTTTATTACAGGTATACCCGTACGTTGGTTTCGGCACACCACTACCAACTTTCCCCCTCTTCTCTATTTTCATTTACAAATTAAGTTCAGACTACAAGTAAAAGGCCATAGGCCTGAATTTGTGGTTGGAGTTTTCCCTATAAAAGCTCTAGCCCCCTGCTTACCTATGCTGGTTCCTGTTAGAGTGACTCCTCCCACCACTCCTTCTAATAAACTTACTATCATCATTACATTACCTCTGGTGGGCCCTCTTTATTACAGGCCTACCCGTACGTTGGTTTCGGCACACCACTACCAACTTTCCCCCCTCTTCTCTATTTTCATTTGCAAATTAAGTTCAGACTACAAATATATATAGACTGTGTAAGGAGCATGTATGTTAAAAAAAAATATTTCAGTACCTGTTGTTGATCCACCCAGCCAAGACTCCTGATCCCTCTCCTACTGGGATGGTTCAGGGTTTGGCTGGGGCTGGATCAGCAAAAGGGCAGGGAGGGTCTGTACGTCCCTCCTCCTACTCCTCCTTCCATTCTAATAGATGGAGAGGGGAGGAGTAGATGGGGGCTGAGTAATGAGAGAGTGAGTGTCATATGAAAGACCCCCCACCCCCTGTATAGCCATTAACAGGACACCTGGCTTAACTAAATTCCAGCTCCTCCTTGCAAGATGGAGGAGCTTGACCTGCAGGGAACAGGGCAAGATGCAGCCGCCCGGCTCGCAATCCTGGAGCTGCAATACTCGCGCCTCTCTCTCTTCAGTGCCGCGGGCCGGCACTACAGCCCATGTAGAAGCCCGTGGCACATGTAGTAGTGTGGTGCGGACAGGCAGGCACAGCGCCCCCTGCAACTCTGCGCCCTAGGCCGGCGCCTACTTCGCCTATAGGTGGTGCCGGCCCTGGTTGTAATCACTGGCCCCTTTGTGCTCCGTACCCTGCGCAACTCCTCTTCTGTCCAGATCATTTAATCCACGCTCTTTTTGTGGAGTATTGAGCCACATTGTCAAAGCATCAAGTGATTTGTACATCAGCTGAGGATCTACCTATTGTCTACCTCTACTCTAGAACCCTAGAACCCTGAACAGTTAAACAGTTAAACAGTTAAAGTTAAAAGGATGAATTTCATTGTTTGTCCCTCTAGCATGCAGTGCATTCATACTCAACTGTGACCCATCACCCTTTTCGAAGGACATTTTATCTAATGAGCAGATATTACAAACGGTTGTTTTTTTTTGTGATTTATAAAATCTACTTTTTTGTTGTTTTTACACACACTGCTGGACTTCAAATCAGTAGCTGATTAATAAATATAAAGGTCCCCATAATCAAACTCACTGGTACTAAGTTTATCAACCCTAGAAAGACAGAAGGTTGAGCTGGCCATGTTGAGAATCAAGGTTTGAAAAGGTAACCCTAATTAATTGCTTTTTCAAGTACTCCAGAAAACCCTAATTTACAATACAACAATCATGAAACAAAGACTTCAGTAATCTTGCTTTATTTTTGCTTATTGTTAAAAGTAAAATATCTGATGATTACGGAGATCTGTATTTAAACATGATAATATGTAGCATAGCAGTGATGCATTGCTATTAAGATCACATTAAGAATTGTTACACTTGATTATGTTTCTCCGATCTTTGGCATAATTTGCACAAATAGTGTAAACCATTTAACAGGTTATAAGGCATTAATATGATATACACAATCCTATCCTCTGAATACAGCTTTTTCTACTGAATCTGGTTCATCCAGGTACTCCACATGAGCTGGAAAGTTGGTACAGTCATATCGACCACTTTTCCTGACGTGGTCAAGGAATTCAGCGGCATTTGAAAACCCAGCATTGTCTGCTACCAATACTGTGCCTTTTCTAAGTAAACCAAGATCCTGTGTAGAGTAAAAATATAATCAGACAGATTAGAAAATCTCTATTTTTTTTACATACTGACCACTGCCTTGATTAAATATTGATTTGATATTTTTTGATAAACTTCTCAGATGAATTAATATTTTTACAAATATTTTAACATTTTGATACCCTTTTTATATATTAATATATATATATAAGATTTTATTAATGTTTTATTAATTTGAAAAATGATTTAAAGTTTATCCAAAAATATTAAATCATTTAAAAAGCACATACAAAAGTATGTTAATATAGTAAGGACTATATTATATATCCTGACTGCAATATGTAGAAAAATATACTCAAACGTCAATAAGATGGTTCAAACGGGTAATTGTGTCATATTGTTAAATAAAATACTATAACAATGGAGATTAATATTCACAAACATGTGTATAAATAATTATTTCTATTATTTCATTATTTATAAATTGCCAGCAAATTCATTAGCGCTGTACAATGGAATGAATCAGTCTTTTTAAATGGATGAGGTACAGTCTGCTCTTCGATTAAAATACTTCTAGAGGTAAAGTTTGTTTTCTAACATATTTATATTGACACAATGTGTTGTTTTAGCTCTCTAGGTCACTGTAGCCCAGCTACCTACTGTGCAACTGGCTTTACATGGAACGATTCCTGCATGTGCTGCTATTGCCTATCACCTATGCCGTGCTTGTAAGTGGATCTTTTTAAAATCATTTTACAATAAAACAAACTGCACCCTTTTGGCGGATTTGTGTGTTGTTTAGGAAGGAAATAAGCTCAGGTTAAAATGAAAACATAAACTGTCATACCCGAGCAGGTTTATTCTCTAAAGGAGGACTTGTTGGGAATTTAAACCGAATTCAAAAGAATGTAAAGTTTAAGGCCAAAGAAGCCAAACTTTTGTTTCCAGTTTAGCTACTTTATTATTATTATAATGTATAGTTATAGCAATTATGAATTGCTACTATAAACATGTATAAATAACTTACTTTGGTCACTTTTCATGCAACTTTTGAGAGTCATTATTTTACACTAAATTATTTTATTTAACACTAAACCTCTAATGCATAAAATCACACAGTTTATATTAATATCTGGTGAATATAATTAAAATCCTTTTAACATCTCACCTATCTGAGTGGAGTCTTTTTTTTAATTTTTAAAATTCTTTATTTTTGTAGAGCAGTGACCTATACACTATGACAGTGACATATGATACATATGATAGGAAAGGTTTACAAGGAGCAGGAGGGTGAAGTAGAAGGAGCAGAAATGAGCAGGAAGGAGTAGAAAGGGTCTGCAAGGAGCAGAAATGAGCAGGAGGGGTCAGCAAGGAGCAGGAGGGGTCTGCTCCTTGCAGAACCTTCCTGCTCCTTGCTGCCCCTTCCTGCTCCTTGCAGACCCTTTCTACTCCTTGCAGACCCTTTCTACTCCTTGCTGCCCCTTCCTGCTCCTTGCAGACCCTTTCTGCACCTTGCTGTCCCTTCCTGCTCCTTGCTGCCCCTTCCTGCCCCTTGCTGACCCTTCCTGTCCCCTTGCAGACCCTTCCTGCTCCTTGCAGACCCTCCCTGCTCCTTGCTGACCCTTCCTGCTCCTTGCAGACCCTTTCTGTTCCTTCTCCTACTTTACCTTTGTGCTCCTTCTGATTCTTTCTGTCCCTTCCTGCTTCTTGCAGACCCTTCATACTCCTTGCTGACCCCTCCTGCCCCTTGCTGACTCTTCATACTCCTTGCTGAAAGGAGCAGAAAGGGTCAGCAAGGAGCAGAAAGGGTCAGCAAGGAGCAGGAAGGGTCAGCAAGGAGAAGGAAGGGTGCATGGAGCAGGAAGGGTGCATGGAGCAGGAAGGGGTCTGCAAGAAGCAGGAAGGGGCAGCAAGGAGCAGGAGGGGCCAGCAAGGAGAAGTAAGGGTCAGCAAGGAGCATAAAGGGTCAGCAAGGAGCAGAAAGGGTCTGTAAGGAGCAGGAAGGGTGCAAGGAGCAGCAAGGGGCAGCAAGGAGCAGGAGGGGTCTGCAAGAAGCAGGAGGGGTCTGCAAGAAGCAGGAAGGGCCTGCGAGAAGCAGAAAGGTATCAGAAAGAGAAAGGAGCAGAAGGGCGCAAAATAAGCAGAATGTAGCAGAAAGGTGAAGGAGCCTCAGAAGAAAAAGAAGACTGTGTCAAATGAAGGAGAAGAAAATTAGATTGGAGTACTTCATTCTGGACACCACATCATAAGGCTTTGGTACCTGGGCCTGGCAGGAATCTTTGGACCTTCTCATCTCCCCAGGTAAAAACAATATCAGAGTTTAAGTGTTCACTTTTATTTACTGACTGTCAGGAAACACAGAGGGCTGCTGGGTAGGGGTGCCGCTGATTGGCTACAACAGTCAGCTGGCACTCTAAGCCAATCTCTAAGCAGCTCTCCATTCATAAAAATGTAAAAAAAATTATGAATCGGGAACTAGCGATTGGCTTAGAGTGTCAGCTGACCGTTGTAGCCTATCAGCGGCACCCATGCCTGACGTCAAACTGCACTTCCTGACAGAAGGATATATATATATAGTATCTCACAAAAGTGAGCACACTCCTCACATTTTTGTGAATATTTTATTATATCTTTTCATGTGACAACACTGAAGAAATGACACTCTGCTACAATGTAAAGTATAACGTACCGCCTGTATAACAGTGTAAATTTGCTGTCCCCTCAAAATAACTCAACACACAGCCATTAATGTCTAAACCGTTGGCAATAAAAGTAGTACATCCCTAAGTGGAAATGTCCAAATTGGGCACAAAGTGTAAAAATTTTGTGTGGCCACCATTACTTTCCAGCTTTGCCTTAACCCTCATGGGCCTGGAGTTCACCAGAGCTTCACAGGTTGCCACTGGAGTCGTCTTCCACTCTTCTATAACAACATCACTGAGCTGGTGGATTTTAGAGACCTAGCGCTCCCCCACCTTCCATTTAAGGATGCCCCACAGATGCTTTACCTTCAGTTTCTTTAGCGAGGCAGTGGTCGTCTTGGAGGCGTGTTTGGGGTCGTTATCATGTTGGAATACTGCCCTGCGGCCCAATCTCTGAAGGGAGGGGATTATGCTCTGCTTCAGTATGTCATAGTACATGTTGGCATTCATGGTTCCCTCAATGAACTGTAGCTCCCCAGTGCCAGCAGCACTCATGCAGGCCCAGACCATGACACTCCCATCACCATGCTTGACAGTAGGCAAGACACACTTGTCTTTGTACTCCTCACCTGGTTGCCGCGACACACGCTTGTCACCATCTGAACCAAATAAGTTTATCTTGGTCTCATCGGACCACAGGACATGGTTCCAGTAATCCATGTCCTTAGTCTGCTTGTCTTCAGCAAACTGTTTGCGGGGTTTCTTGTGCATCTTCTTTAGAAGAGGCTTCCTTCTGAGACGACAGCCATGCAGACCAATTTGACGCAGTGTGCGGCATATGGTCGGAGCACTGACAGACTAACCCCCTACCCCTTCAACCTCTGCAGCAATGCTGGCAGCACTCATACGTCTATTTCCCAAAGACAACCTCTGCATATGAGCACTTGCACTCAACGTCGACCATGGCGAGGCCTGTTCTGAGTGGAACAGTGGCGTACACACAACCCATGGGGCCCCAGTGCGAAAACTGATCCGTGGGGCCCCCCCACCCCCGCGCTTACTCTGCGTGGGCCGGAACACATGGCGGCAGGCACCTGGTTGCAGGGGTCACAGGGCTGCGACCGCAGTATGTACGCCAGAGCATGCAGAAACACATACACTTAAAGGATCACTACAGACACCCAGATCACATCAGCTCAATGAAGTGGTCTGGGTGCCAGGTCCCTCTAGTTTTAATCCTGCAGCTGTAAACATAGCAGTTTCAGAGAAACTGCTATGTTTCACTGAGGGTTAATCCAGCCTCTAGTGGCTGTCTCATTGACAGCCGCTAGAGGGGCTTCTGCGATTCTCACTGTGAAAATCACAGTGAGAAGACGCTGAACGTCCATAGGAAAGCATTGAGTAATGCTTTCCTATGGGCAGTTTGAATGCGCGCGCGGCTCTTGCTGCGCATGCGCATTCGGAGCTGCGAGGCGGAGAGATCCCCAGCGCCAAGGGAGTCTGGCACTGGAGAAAGGTAAGTGCTGAAGACACACACACACACTCTCAAGAACAGACGCATACACACTAACACTCACTCTAACACACATTCTAACACTAACACACACACACACACTAACACACACTTTTTTTAAAAATGTAATCCCCCAGCCTCCTTACCTGTGGGAGTGCTGAGGGGATTCCCTAGGGTCCAGTGGTGTCACCAGGCAAGCAGGCAGGCTGGCGCGCGCGCGAGGGAGCACTCTCCCCTGAGTGCTTCCTCTTCAGCTCCCTCGGTGAGCGAGGGAGCTGAAGATGGAGCACTCAGGGAAGAGTGCTCCCTCGCACGCCCACTAGCTTGTCGGGTGACACCAGGGCCAGCCTCGGGGGGGCCCTGAGGTGGCCAGCTCCTGGGCCCCCCAGGAGAAGAGTTCCACTACACTGGCATACATACCAGGTCGCAGGGCGGCCAGGCCCCCTGGTGGACAGGGCCCGGTCACAGCCGTGACCCCTGTATGTACGCCACTGGAGTGGAACCTGTCCTGTGAAACCGCTGTGTGGTGTTGCCCACCGTGCTGCAGCTCAGTTTCAGGGTCTCGGCAATCTTCTTATAGCCTAGGCCATCTTTATGTAGAGCAACAATTCTTTTTTCCAGATCCTCAGAGAGTTCTTTGCCATTAGGTGCCATGTTGAACTTCCAGTGACCAATATGAGAGAGTGTGAGAGCGATAACACCAAATTTAACACACCTGCTCCCCATTCACATCTGAGACCTTGTAACACTAACGAGTCACCTGACACCAGGGAGGGAAAATGGCTAATTGGAAACCCCCCCCCCCCCCCTCTTCCCTTCCTAACCCACTCTCCCCTCCCAGTGACCCCGCTAATTAAAAGAGAAGGGAAGGAGAACAGAGAAAAAAAAAGGGGGGCCCAAAACCACCCCTCCTCCCCCCAATATAGCGACTGACACACTCGAACCCCAGGTGTCCTGAGGACCCTACGCCATGGCATTCACAGATGCCCCCTTCCAAATCATCACACAGAACTGCAGGGGACTGAATGCCCCTGAGAAACGCACGCACCTCCTACGAGAACTGAAAAAGCAACACGTATCCATAGCACTGCTGCAAGAAACACACCTGAGAGCGGCCGAAACGCATCGATTGACGGATAGACGCTTCCCAGACAGTTTCCATAGCACCCACCCAACAGCACGCAAGGCGGGAGTGGCGATTCTCCTGGCCTCCAACCTTCACTTCCACCGAAGCGACACACTGGCCGATCCGAATGGCAGATACTTGTTCGTGAAGGGGACGGTAGCCCAGAAGACATATACGTTTGCTTCAATCTACGCCCCAAATACCAAACAAGCGAAATTCCTCCGCAACACACTACTCAAGCTCGCCAACTTCACGGAAGGTGCCCTCGTGGTGGGAGGGGACTTCAACACCCCTCTAGAACCGATCCTGGATTCCTCAACAGGACATAGCAGCATCCCACAAACAGCCATTCGGACGATCCGAAGGACTCTACACGACCTGTGATTGGTGGACACATGGTGTATCTTACACCCAGGAGACCGAGATTACACGCATTACTCGGCCATGCACAATAGGCACGCTAGGATAGACTACCTCTTTATCCAACAAGAAGGACTGCAAAGACTACTGGAGGCAGACATCCGCCCCACTCCATGGTCGGACCATAGCGCAGTATACATGTGCATGGAATCACCCCTATACTGACCTACCCGGACCGTATGGCGCTTAAATGAACTACTCCTCTCCGACGTACCGACGCAGGTACAACTAGTGGAACAACTGAATAACTACTTCACTGAAAACGACACCGAAGATACCTCCGCACTGACCCTGTGGGAGGCCCACAAAAGCGTCCTCAGGGGGCTACTTATCCGGATATCAGCGCAGAAAAAGAGAGAAGCACAACGACAAATGACGGCACTCGCGGAACAGATAGCAACGCTGGAAACGCTGCACAAGAGGACCCGACAAGAGGAGCATTACCGCACCCTTCTGACCCTCAGACGGCAATTGTCAGACCTGATAGCCCGCAAACACCACAGGTCAATCCAGAGATCAAAGGCCTTCTTCTACATTCATGCCAACAAGGGAGGAAAGCTACTAGCCCGCATGTTGCGGAACCAACAAACAAGCGCACAGGTGAGCGCACTGCGAACAGCCAGGGGCACCACTACGCAATTCCCTGAGGAGATCGCAAACGAATTCCGCTCGTACTATGAAGACTTATACAACATACCGCCCGAAACCCCGGACGCAGATGAGACCAGAACCGCAGGAGACATCGCACGCTACCTCAGAGACTTCAACCCTGAAGCCCTATCCCAGCAGGAAGCAGACGCCCTAGACGCCCCGATATCTACAGAAGAGATACTGGCAGTGATAAAAACCACAAAGAATGGGAAGGCACCGGGCCCGGACGGGTTCTCGGCGGGCTATTATAAAAAGTTCAGATACATCCTAGCCCCACGCATCGCCAACGCCTGCAACCACCTCCGAGACGGAGGTAAATTTCACCGAGAATTCCTAGCAGCCATAATCACAGTGATTCCCAGCTACGCGACTGCAACAATTCCTGCCAAGGCTAGTCCACCCAGACCAGACGGGGTTCATCCCGGGCAGAGAGGCCAGGGATAGCACCCTGCGGGCGTTCACCATACAAAGCATGGCGCGTAGGGGAACCTCGGACTTCCTTATGCTCTCCACGGACGCAGAAAAGGCGTTCGATCGGGTAAGGTGGAGCTTCATGACGGCAGCGCTGGTGGCGATGGGTCTGGGGAACGGCATACTCACCTGGATAACGGCACTCTACACCGACCCAACTGCCAGAGTACGGGTAAACGGAGCACTTACAGACAACTTTGACATCAACAACGGAACCAGACAGGGATGCCCGCTGTCCCCCCTCCTCTTCGCCCTCTCGTTAGAGCCGTTTCTAGACAAGATCAGAAGGACACCAGAGATCCAGGGATTCAGACAGAAAGATCAGACACATAAGGTGGCAGCATACGCGGATGATATGCTCTTTTTCGTCACGGAACCTCAGGGCACACTGCCGGCCCTCCTACGGGAGTTTGAGCAATATGGGCAGATATCAGGGCTTAAGCTAAATCTAGCAAAATGCGAAATTCTGGCAATACACACCGCGAGGAACACACAGGAGAGACTCCAACGCAAATTCCCTTTCCACTGGTGCAAGGAGCAGATGCGCTACCTAGGTTTTTGGCTCTGCCGTGACCCGGGCGAGACATACGATAGGAACTATACACCCCTCCTTCGCAACGTACTGACAGACCTGACGAGATGGTCGTATGATCACATCTCTTGGCAAGGCCGAATAGCGGTGGTCAAAATGAACATCCTCCCCCGCCTCCTCTACTGCCACAGGACTTCTTTACCAAGCTCAAAACAGCGGTAACGAGATATGTCTGGAAGGAGGGGAGGCCACGGCTTAAACACGACAGACTATGCTTGCCAAAACCATGGGGAGGCCTGGCCCTGCCGGACTTTCGGAGATACTTCCACGCGACAGTGCTCCAGAGGATTTGAGAATGGCACACGGCCCCCACCAACAAACTATGGACGAGGCTGGACAGGGAAAGCACAAACAGAGCACTCCACACATACATCTGGCACCGCCCGACAGGGGCTACACAAGCTCTGGGTACGGAATCCCCAGTGACGCAGACGCTGAAAACCTGGACCACCCTGCGAAGGGAAGCACACATCTCGCCACAGCCAAGCCCCATGATCCCCCTAACATATAACGAAACCATAGGAGGGGGACTGCACGCGAACGCGTGGCCAATACACAGAGCAGAGGGATATGTACCCCTGAGTTCGGCCCTGACAAACGCCAGCCTGCTCAGCCTTCAAGACTGGGCGGACACAGATCGTCTGACAATAATGCACCGTTTCCATTACGCACAGCTGAGGCACTTCTACCACAACCTGCCCAATAGGGGAGCAGTACACAGAGAATGGACCTGGTTTGAACACCTCTGCGAGAGCTATCCAGAGGCAGATGGCAGAGTATCGGGCATATATCAACAACTGCTCACAGGGGAACTCTCCAGAAACAACGCCTTCCAGAGGCAGTGGGAGGAATTGACAGACAGAACCTTCACAGACGCCCTATGGGCACAAATTCTCATATTACAACACAAAAGCTCCATGAGCACCAGGTACCAAGAGGTGAACTACAAGCTGATCTCCCAGTGGTAAAGAACACCAGCAAAACTGCACAGGATATTCCCAGGGGTCCCAGATACATGCTGGAGATGCGAAGCGCAGCCAGACACACTACGCCACATTTGGTGGGATTGCCCTGGGATCAAGCCATTCTGGGAAGAGGTAAACTGGGAAATCATTACAATTCTGGGTGACCCACCAGACTTTAGCATAGAGGCCGCACTCCTAAACTTCTCCACAGGACAGCTGGCACAATACAAACGCTCAATCCTACGACACCTGCTTAATGCGGCCAAAGCACTGATCCCAGCGAGATGGAAGCAAACCCAGCCACCTTCCAAAACGGAATGGCTGCAGAGAATAGAAGAGATCCACACAGCTGAGGCGAGATACGCTGAGATACTTGGGAGGAGGGACAAACATCTTGAAATGTGGACACCATGGTACCTATACACGTCACAAACAAGGACAGGGGATGGGACACCACTCGGATCCTAGCCAGCTGGACCAACACGCGCATCTTAACACAACTTCTCTCTCCCCCCCCACCTCACCCGGACCTGCCCTGACCGACTAACTCAGGAGTCAAGATAGACCCATGCCACAACATAGCTATGCCCCATACCTCCCAGCTCTCCCACCATCACACACTCCCACCCATCCCTATCTCTCCCCCCCTCTCTCCTTTTTCTTTCCCCGGGCGAGGTCGGGGACCGCCTGGCGCAACATGGCCACAAAATATCTGAGCCCGAGAAGGCACCACGATTTCCCCATGGGACGTGGGCCCAGCGAGACATCGCTCAATAAACTCGGGGGGTTCCCACAACGTGGAAAACTCCTACAATAAACAGCAAACATAAGTCAACACTAGATGACTGACACAACTAAGCATTGAGACATCACACCACCCCCATCCAAGGGGGGAAAACACTCCAGATACACCACAGATACCATACGTGGACAGCGACTGGAGCACGACAAATATTACTGCCCACAAGGAAGCAAAATGACAGAAGCAACTAAACACACCGCTGGGCGCTCCCCCCCCCTCCCGTCGTGATGGAGGGGGGAGGGGACGCGGACTCAGAACGAGAGGGTAGATGACCCAGGAGAGAACCCACAACATACCTAGGCACCGCTGAAGTTAGGGAAAAGACAGACAGGAAAGGGAGTTCCAGACCAGGTGCAAGACTATAGGACCCGATCCCGCAAAACAACCCCTTTCTCACTCCCCACGTTAGAGGACGTGACCTGGGACCTCCCGCACTACTTACCATTTGATTGGGGATCAACTATAGAATCGTTTTGCCCTTACTGGTGTGGGCCGGCAGCCCTCCGCTTCCAATAATGCTATATAAAGACCCACCTAAAACTGGTGGTACTCATGTCAGACGCAATTGGAGACCTGCGAGTCTCACTGACAATATAAGCTCTGCTATCTGTTATTATCTGAACTGCTAATAAAAACTTTATTTACAAAAAAAAAAGAAAATGGCTAATTGGGCCCAATTTGGACATTTCCACTTTTGTTGCCAACGGTTTAGACATTAATGGCTGTGTGTTGAGTTTTTTTGAGGGGACAACAAATTTACACTGTTATAAAGACTGTACACTTACTACTTTACATTGTAGCAGAGTGTCACTTCTTCAGTGTTGTCAAATGAAAATATATAATAAAATATTTACAAAAATGTGAGGGGTGTACTCACTTTTGTAAGATACTGTGTATATATATATATATATATACATGCAATGCTCATGTTTAACCATAGACAATACGCACCTCCAGAAGCACAGTGTCTGGTTTATATCTGTCCCCATAGTGATCAATAAAGACAAAGTCAAAGTTCTCTACAGCATACTCAGTCTTCAGTTTGGGGAGAATGTCATGTGTTGAACTCTGTAGTATGTGTACCTGTGGTAAGAGATAACTGCTTTAATCATGTGTATATGATCTATTACACAATAAATGAATCATGATCATTTTTTTTATTTTTATTTTTTTAGTTCAGCATATTTTTTGCAACAGTTTCAAATCGAATTGCCAAGACAGGTAATTATTAGCTAACCAAGAAGAGGCACTTGGATGATGGTTAAGGAGCATTAGGAATAAGAAAATAAAACTTGTTTGGAAAGAACTATTGATTTGAGGTGCCATGTAGAAAATATCTGCAAATATGCATTTAGAGAATGTGTGTCTTTATTTAAAGGCACTAAAACAACTTTAGCTTAATGAAGCAGTTTTGATGTATAGATCATGCCCCTTCAGCCTCACTGCTCAATCCTCTGCCATTTAGGAGTTAAATCACTTTGTTTATATAACCTGCAGTCACATCTCCTTGCATGTGATTTGCACAGCGTTCCTAAACACTTAAAGAACCACTGGGCTGAAGGGGTTAAAACACTTACCCTTCTCCAGCGCTGGGGAACTCTCCTCCCTCTGCAGACGTCAGCACAGAATGCGCATGCGCGGCAAGAGTCGCGCACACATTCAAGCCGCCCATAGGAAAGCATTACTTAATGCTTTCCTATGGACGTCCAGCGTCTTCTCACTGTGATTTTCACAGTGACAATCGCAGAAGCGGCCTCTAGTGGCTGTCAGTGAGACAGCCACTATAGGCTGGATTAACCCTCAGTGAAACATAGCAGTTTCTCTGAAACTGCTATGTTTACAGCTGCAGGGTTAACACTAGATGGACCTGGCACCCAGACCACTTCATTGAGCTGAAGTCGTCTGGGTGCTTATAGTAGTCCTTTAATTATATTAATTAACATAACAATCAATCATGTCCACCAAGCCCTCCACACCTAAAATAGCTTAATTCACACAATGAATAACTTTTTAACCCTTAACCCTCACAACCTCACCTACAATCTTTACAGCTCACTTCTCCATATCTTAAAATATGCAGCACCTGTTCTGCTAATAATGTTCTGCCTTCTATTTTTCACTTTCTCTCTCACTTCCCTTATTATTAAAATCTCTCTATCCTTTTACTTACCTGTTCCTGCTGACACCATCTTCATTGCTCCCTCTCTACTTCCCTCATCTCTGTATTCATCACATGCACTTTACTTATATTTATCCAGCCTTTCTCCACAATCCCCTCCTACATCCCCTAAATACAAGCTCTCATCCCAAACATCCCACCTTCCTTTCTTCCTTTCCAGCCTACTGCTCCTGGCAGCTGGTGATGTCTCTCCAAACCCTGGTCCATCCTCTACTAAGCCACCTGGTGCTAACACCAGAAACCACAACAATCTCATATCCATTCCATGTAACACTCACTATAATTTCTCTTTTTAAGCTGCCCTCTGGAATGCACACTCTTTGTGCAGCACTGTTAAATCAACATCCATCCATGACCTATTTATCTCACACTCCCTAAACTTACTTGCACTAACGGAAACATGGCTCTCTCCCTCTGATACTGCTACCCCTGTCTCACTATCCTTTGGTTATTTATCATCCCCCTGGTTCCCCCTCACCTCTTCCTTGACCACTTTGCTGCCTGGCTGCCCTACTTCTTCTCTTCTTTATTCCATCCCTAATTCTTGGAGACTTCAATATTCCCATTAATATTCCCACCTTTGACATCTACAGCCTCCTAAACTACTTTCAATTACTTCCTCAATCGGGCTATCGCAGTGGGTTAATTCTCCCACCCATGTAGCTGGTAATACCCACAACCTAATTTTCTCTTATGCATGTACAGTATCTAATATGTGCAACACTGCATTTCCTCTCTCTGATCACCACCTCTTATCGTTTGCTCTCGAGTACTCCCTCACCCAACAACCTCAGCCTAACCCCCCTCAATTCAGGAGGAACCTTAATTCTATTGACCTCCAGAAGCTGTCAGCTGATATTGATTCACAACTGCTATGCATCCCTTCCCTCTCCTGTCCCTCACTGGCCATCTCCACATATAACACTACCCAACCTCTGCCAAAAATGCTGCAGCCCCGCTCCAAACATGCACCTCGTGGAGGACACCCCCACAACCGTGGCATACTAAATCAACACGCTCATTGCAAAGTTGCTCCCGTTGTGCTGAATGCCCCTGGAGAAAGTCTCGCACCCAGTCAGACTTTCTCCATTATAGATTCATATTGTGTTCATACAGCGCAGCCCTTGCCCTCGACAAACAGTTATACTTTTCCTCTCACATTATTTCATGCTCCCACAATCCCAGGCATTTCTTTGACACCTTTAACTCTCTTCTTCGCCCTGCTGTGGCCACCCCTCAAACTAACCTTACAGCTGATAGCTTTGCATACTACTTTACCAACAAGATTGACCAGCTAAGTAAAGAATTCTCTCCACCTTGCCATTCTCTTTCTCAACCACACGTTGATCATGCCTTTCCTACCCTTCAGACTTTCTCCCCGGGTACTGAACAAGAGGTGGCTACGCTTCTCTTTTCCTTTTGCCCCACCACTTGCCCGCTCGAACCTGTCCCATCTCACCTTATCAGATCTCTCTTCCCTTGTCTTGTGCCTTCCTCAACACACATCTTCAACTGCTCTCTCTCTTCTGGCGTTGTTCCTGCTGACCTTAAACATGCCACTGTAGTACCTATCCTGAAAAAAACATCTCTTGACCCGTCCTCCCCCTCTATCGTCCCATATCCCTGCTCCCTTTTTCCTCAAAACTTCTGGAAAGACTTGTCTTTGCCCGTGTCTCACTTCCTCAATTCCAACTCTCTCCTTGACCCTCTTCAATCTGGCTTCCGCCCTCTCCACTCTACTGAGACTGCTCTTATCAAAGTTACTAATGACCTAATGTCTGCTAAATCCAAAGGCCACTACTCCATACTAATTTTTCTTTGACCTTTGACACAGTTGATCATGCTCTCCTTCTTCAAACTCTTCGATCACTCGGTCTCTGTGACTATGTCCTCTTGTGGTTTTCCTCTTATCTCTCCCAACGCTCATTCAGCATCTCCTTTTCTAATGACACCTCCTCCCCTTGTCCTGTTGTGGGGATATTTATGGGGTAAAAATATTAAAATATTTTCATAAAAATTATCAAAAATTAATTTAATAATTTTTATTATATCAAACTTGATATTGAGAATTACCCTATATTAATTCTTTTAGATCCTAGAGAACGTTCATCTGAGGATTTTACTTCACACTGTAAATCACAATTTCTTTATAAAAATATAGTTTATTGTAACAATAATAATATGTAACATGCGTGACAATCAGTGAATATTTAGTATAACATAGGCATACAAAATGGCAATGGTTTAAACACAATACAGCGGCTACAAGCAATCAGCTGTCAAGAGATTTATGATAGTTAAAAAGTCTTCACAGACACAGAAAGCAAAACTTCACAGTGCAGTGAGAAGCAATAAAACCTTGGCTAATAGTTAGATCAACTGAGTAACCCTTTCAATGCTGGCTGCAATCCTCCTAGGCATATAATATCCTATTCTGTTGCAATTTTTCAATTAAAGCAATGTTCATACCAGATCATTAACCATTCCTGGAACCATCCAATAAGGATAAATCCACCAGATTTTACACTAGCCGAATTTTAACTTTCCTACATAAGATTCTCTATCTTATATCAGAATAAGTCAATATTTCTGGATAAATGTGTCATGCTAATCTGTTGGTAAATATTACCTTTAATATACTGTTATCTTTATTCCACCTGCAGGAATGGAATTTTTATAACCATATATTCTTTAGTTAACTAAGATTTCTAATGATTGAAATCTGACAAGATTTATCCAGATATATTCCTGCTATTAGAAAAATTTAAATTAATTTAAATTAATTAAATAAAACCAGCATAATTACCAGTTATGTTGTAGATGTTCTTATCAGATGAGTAGATAGTCCCAGGAACTTGAATGCAAGTATGATTGATGTATATAGGATTGTATGTAATAGAAAAGTGGTGTTGGTTAGAAAGTAATGGTAAAATTTTAAGTGTCCAGGAAAGTGTTTCTTGAGTTGTGTCAAAGAGAGTTTGAATGTGGTCAAAGAGTATGAGTCTTTAAATGTCAGATTTTGAATGTCTGAATGTCCAAATTGAGTGTCAGTCCCAAAGTTGAATGTCTGAATCCCTCAATATCCTTTGTCCTTCCTTTCTAAAGGGCAAAACTCTCTGCACGTCATTAGTTGATCGGATGAATAGGGAACTGTAGGTGTGTCTACCTTACAGACTATCATCTAGATTTTGGTCAGTAGATGGCGCAATCATATCACCAAAATTTCTTGTCCTGGAATGGGTTAACTGAAAATTATGATGATTTAGACCTCCTTATTCACTCTCTTACCCAGACTTCGTGTCGGGCATATAGAAACATAGAAACATAGAATGTGACGGCAGATAAGAACCATTCGGCCCATCTAGTCTGCCCAATTTTCTAAATACTTTCATTAGTTCCTGGCCTTATCTTATAGTTGGGATAGCCTTATGCCTATCCCACGCATGCTTAAACTCCTTTACTGTGTTAACCTCTACCACTTCAGCTGGAAGGCTATTCATGCATCCACTACCCTCTCAGTAAAGTAATACTTCCTGATATTATTTTTAAACCTTTGTCCCTCTAATTTAAGACTATGTCCTCTTGTTGTGGTAGTTTTTCTTCTTTTTAAATATAGTCTCCTCCTTTACTGTGTTGATTCCCTTTATATATTTAAATGTTTCTATCATATCCCCCCGTCTCGTCTTTCCTCCAAGCTGTACATGTTAAGATCCTTTAACCTTTCCTGGTAAGTTTGATTCCGCAATCCATGAACCAGTTTAGTAGCCCTTCTCTGAACCCTCTCTAAGGTATCAGTATCCTTCTGAAGATACGGTCTCCAGTACTGTGTACAATACTCCAAGTGAGGTCTCACCGGTGTTCTGTACAATGGCATGAGCACTTCCCTCTTTCTACTGCTAATTCCTCTCCCTATACAACCAAGCATTCTGCTAGCATTTCCTGCTGCTCTATTACATCGTCTGCCTACCTTTAAGTCATCAGAAATAATCACCCCTAAATCCCTTTCCTCATATGTTGAGGTTAGAACTCTATCAAATATTCTGTACTCTGCCCTTGGGTTTTTACGTCCAAGATGCATTATCTTGCACTTATCCACATTAAATGTCAGTTGCCACAATTCTGACCATTTTTCTAGTTTACCTAAATCATTTGCCATTTGGCTTATCCCTCCTGGAACATCAACCCTGTTACATATCTTAGTATCATCATCAAAAAGACATACCTTACCATCAAGACCTTCTGCAATATCACTAATAAAAATATTAAAGAGAATGGGTCCAAGTACAGATCCCTGAGGTACCCCACTGGTGACAAGTCCAAGCTTCGAATATATTCCATTAACTACAACCCTCTGTTGCCTGTCACTCAGCCACTGCCTTACCCATTCAACAATATTTGAATCCAAACTTAAAGATTGCAGTTTATTGATAAGCCTTCTATGTGCAACAGTGTCAAAAGCCTTACTGAAATCTAGGTAAGCAATGTCTACTGCACCACCCTGATCTATAGTTTTAGTTACCCAATCAAAAAAAAATCAATAAGATTAGTTTGGCATGATCTCCCTGAAGTAAACCCATGTTGTCTCTGATCTTGAAATCCATGTGTTTTTAGATGTTCATCAATCCTATCCTTTAACATGGTTTCCATCACTTTCCCCACTACTAAATCTACTTCTGACATGTCTAAACCTTAATTTCACCTCTTGCTTACAATGGGGCTTTGTAAGATTTAGAAAGTAAAATTAATTACAAAGTATTATCTGTAATGTTATCTGGTTCTTGTGTCTGTGTTTAAAATTATTTCTATTCCCCCATCCCCCTTCTTGTGAGTCATCATTGCCTTGTTTACATAATGCATTCCTTAGCTCAGGCTTGAATGAATAGAGTTACAGATAGAAAGAAATGCTGTGTTTTTTTTTGTTCTTATAAATACAAAATGGAGTCAGCTCTGTTCTGAGTGACTCTGGCAATATACACTTTTAATTTCTATCTTAGCACAAAATATCTGCCGATATAAATATACTGACACTGTCTCAGTTGGAGTCCCCCAAGGCTCTGTCCTTGGTCCCTTTTTATTTTCTCTTTATACTGCCTCTCTTGGCAAACGTATTACCTCTTTTGGATTCCACTACCACCTGCACGCTGCTGACACCGAGATATATCTCTCCTCCCCGGACCTCTCTCCTGCCATCCTGCAACGTGTCACTGCTTGCCTATCTTCCATCTCTGACTGGATGTCCTCCCGCTTTCTGAAACTCAATCTCTCTAAAAAAGAGCTCCTTGTCTTTCCTCCTCCTAATACTGATCCTCCCCTTTCGCTCTCCCTTCTAGTTAGTGGTATCTATTTAAGTCCTTCCTTGCAAGCGCGCTGTCCTTGCGTCATACTTGACTCTAGCCTCACCTTTGAGCCTCACATCCAGTATGTTCCCAAATCCTGTAGATTCCATCTTAAGAACATAGCCGACATCCACCCCGTTCTTACACAAGATGCTACCAAGGAGCTTGTCCATGCTCTAGTAATTGTCCGCATGGATTATTGTAACCCTCTCCCTCTCCTGATTGGTCTTCCCAAAAGCCATATTGTCCTTCTACAGTCTGTAATGAATGCTGCCGCCAGACTGATTTTCCTCTCTAGTCGGTCCTCTCACACCTCACCCCCTCTGTCAGTCCTTAAATTGGCATCCTGTATCCTATAGGAGTCAATTCAAAGTGCTAACCCATACCCATAAAGCACTAAACAATTCTAGTCCCTCTTATATTTCATCACAGATCCATATGTATGCCCCTTCTCGGTCTAATTCCCGTGACCTTCTCCTGTCCGCTGCTCGCACCAATACGGCCAACTCGCGCTTGCAGGACTTTGCGCGGGGGGTCTCCCTTCCTATGGAATAGCCTGCCTACTGCCATCAGACTCTCCCCTAGTCTTCAATCATTTAAGAATTGCCTTAAACCCATCTCTTTAGGAAATGACCTCCCAGACTAACCTCTACCTCACATATCTGCCTCTTGCTCTTTCTTAAAGGGGAACACTCTACTCTCTCCTCCAGCTCTGCTTCACTCCCACCTTATTTGATTGCTATTTCCTGTCCTAATGTGTTTTATACCCCACCTCCTATAGACTGTAAGCTTGTTTTTAGCATGGCCCTCTTCAACCTATCGTTCTGTAAGATTTCTTGTAATTGTCCTAGTTATAGTTAAATCCCCCCTCTAATAATATTGTAAAGCACTACGGAATCTGTTGGCGCTATATAAATGGCGGGAATAATAATAATAATGTCCAGGTACCTGTAACACTTTGAAAAAGCCATGCCACAGGTGAAGCATGTTAGTGTTATTACTCTAATTGTTTTATTCACTTTTAATCTGATATATTTTTATTATGTTAGAGGATTTTTTTTATTATGATAATAGACGTGTAGCAGGCACTTAGTGAATGAATGGATATTTCTAAGTAGGTAAACTTTTCGATCTGCTTAATATGCTGAACTTCCTGTCTGGGTAGAAGTTATTAGACAGCTTGAAAATATCGATGAGGAAAATCCCCAAACCAGTGTGAGTATATCTGTGGAAAGTATCACCCCTGGCTAGCATGATGTCTTCTAGTGACCGTCAATCCCTGGACCAGCCTAGTTAGGTTAACAAGTAGGGACAGAAGCCTGAAGACTGCTGCACCTTTGTCCGGCTGTGGGGTTTTGTGTATAGCCAAGTGCTAGGTGGTGGCCGGCTTGGTGGTATTTATAGAGAGGGTGACACTGCCATAGAGGTGTGAGAGTAAGATGGGCCATAACTAGTAATCGGAGCTTGTTGGTGGAACATGTGCGCTTCTCTTTTAGCATTTTCAGGTGTGCAGCTTACACATTCCTAGCCTAATTAACCCATAGGCAAAAAAAGTGGGGGGGGCAATGGAGGCAGTAGCTATTCGATCTGAGAAGGGTGGAGGCAATTATCCTGCTCTGTGTGAGGGTAAAGATGTGGGATGTTGTGCACTGGGGAAAAGGCCGCTTAATTGAGTGAGTCCCGAACTGGGCCTGTAAGAGGCAGTCCTGTTTGAGGTCAGGTTGTGGCTTTGACACGAGAGCCCGGAGTGGGCAGCCTGGGTACAAATTCCACCGCAGTCCCTAGGTTCCATCTGTTAGTCGGTTGAGGCGCTGCACTTGGGGCATCAATGCTGAGGGAGAGTTGGGGGATTTCCAAGCGCTGTAGGATCACTGTGGCTTCCTGGAGGTCTCGAATGATGTGGGTTGAATCCCCGTGGAGGATTGACAGTGATCGGGAGTGGCGCCATCGGTAGGGTATTTTGTGCTGTTGTAGAAGGGAGGTGAGTGGTTGTAGTTCTCGGCGCAATGCCACAGTGCAGCCGCATAGGTCTGCATAGAATGTCAGTGACATATCTTCGAAGGTGTAAGGTGACTTGCCCCTCAGAGCATTCAGGACTGCTGCCTTGTCTTTTCCATTTTGGAATTGGAGTTTCAGGTCCCTTGGTGTTCTCGGTGGTGCTTTTGGTGATTAGGGCACCCGGAATATGCCTTCGATCACTACTGCTTTGGCCTGTTTGGGCATCAGTAAAGCTGTCAGCAGCCGTCTCACCACATGTAGGAACTCTGCTCCAGGTATATTTTTAGGGATTCCCCTGACTTTAAGATTGCTCCGGCGGCAGGAGTCATCTTGTGCAGCAAAGCGCCATTCATAGGAGTAATTTTGCAAGTCTCTAACCTCTTGTTGAAGAGTTGAGATCTGCTGTGTGCAGAAGTGTGAGTTAGTTTCCAGTGCTCCAATGTGGCCTGTGAAGCCCTGCAGGTCCTGGCGTATTGTGGCCATGCAGGTCAACTAGAAGCTCTTTTAAGATTGTAGTAGTCACCGGAGCCGAGTCTGGCTTCGTTAGAGGGGTCGGTGGTGGAGGCGCCTGGGCAGGTATATAGCCCTCCTCTGATCCACAGGAGAGATCATCTGAGAGGTCTGAGCAGTCCCCAGTGATGGCTGCCATCTGGGGCTCGTGAGTGCCATGAGCCTGCCACCACAGATTCCCAATATTCATGCCCAGGCGGGTGTCTCCTGACGTAGTTTTTTCGTCTTCTTCCCCATGGGGCTTATGCACGCTGGGGAGTTCTTCCGGACACAATAAGGCTGGCCTGGATGCCGAAAACTGGGTAATTATTGCCTCCGTGGACTGGAGCTCCATAAACATGCGACTGTCCGCTTTGACTGTCAGGCTCCGCCCCTCTACCTTCCAATTCTTTGGGCAGACCCACCCCTTTCTGAGCATGTCCGACCCTTTTGGCAGTACCAGTTACGTGACTCGCCTCAATGGCCCACCCTTTTACCCAGTTGACTGATGTCCTGTTTCATTGGATGCCGCTGTTAAGCGGCATGGATTTGCTGAGAAATTAACATAGGGTATGTGTCTTCTAATAACTGCATCCTGTGAGTTTCTCTCCGGCACCACCTATACCAGATACATGATGCTTGGACTTTATCACCGTTTTACTGTTTTCTATCTTCTGTCAATATGATCCTGTAATTAGGCCCATCATAATTTTCAGACCAGGCCCAGTGGACTATTAATCCCTGCTTCCAACACTACACTGTGGAATGATAATAGCAATCTGCATGGAGACGACATAAAAGAAAATGTAATATATATAATATTTTATAGAAAGGAGATTTAGGCCAGAATGCCACAATGAAGACAACAAAATTCAAAGTGAAAGCAAAAGATGCAAAGGGGATCTGAAAATGGTAAGGCCGACATTGAGGAGAAAACAGTAATGCCAGACAACAGGGCCGTTTTTAATACTGATTGGACCCTGGGCAAGCATTTGCTTGGGCCCCCTGGACCCTGCTGTCCTCCCACTCCCTGGCATGCAATCATGCCCTACACTCCAACCCAGTGGCAGAACTAACGTAGAGAAGCCCTGGTGCAAGAAAGTTGTTTGGGCCTCCCCCTCTAGCACAAAAATGGCCAAAAGATAGATCCCCATCTGTCAGACAACTCCCACAACGCTATGCCAGCTGGGGATCTATGATTTGCCCATCCTTGCAGGGTTGTATTTGTGTGCAGTGTTTGTGCATCTGAACGTAAGCCTGTTTTTGCGTAGAGTATATGTGTGCATGTAGGTGTATTTGTATGTACTGTTACCATTGGAATGCAGAGGTGTACTTGTGTGTAGTGTTGCGTTTGAATGCAGTGGTGTGTGTTTGTATGTATGGTTGGCTTTTAAATGCAGCTGTGCAATTGTGAGTAGAGTTGGTGTTTGCATATAAATTTGGCATTTTAATACTGGGTCTTGTTTGTATGTTAAATTTGCCTTCAGGGTTGTGATTGGATGTAGTGTTGTCTTCTAAACATTTGTGTGTAGTATTGGTGTTTGAGTAAGGGGTGTGTTTTATATATAATTTCTGAGTTTGAAATCAGGGGCATGTTTGTTTGTAATGTTTGTGTGTTCAGGGATATGTTTGCATGTTGTTTTTGATTGCTGGGATGTATACACATACACAGATACACATCAACACACATATAAACATAGACACATGCACATACCTTGACACACAGATACACACACTGGCACATAAACACTCAGATACACATAGATACACACACTGGCATACATACTCTGACAATTTTTATGTTTGCCGCAGGGCAGAAGCAGTGAGTTGGAGGGGACACAAGGCAAAAGCAGAGCGTGGGGCGGCACAGAGCGGTGGCTCTCCATTGTAGGGCAGAAGGCGTTAGTGGGGGGTCTGCAATGTAGGGCAGAAGGAGTGAGTGGGGGCTCTGCAATGTAGGGCCGAAGGAGCGAGTGGGGGGTCTGCAGTGTAGGGCAGGAGGAGTGAGTGGGGGATCTGTAATGTAGGTAAATGAGTGGGGGCACAGAGTAAAAGCAGTGAGTGGGGGGGGCAGGGGCGGACCGCCATGCTGTCTGGTTGCGTGTAGGAGAGGCTCTGGAGGAATTGAGTCCACAATGATATAATCAAATGGACGTGGGAGTGGTGGCAGACTCCGAGGTCAGAAGTTCTGGGCCCCCTTGAGGAATTAGTAGATAAATAACTAGAACCACTCACATGGTATGGAGCCTATATAATATTGGCTCTGTAAAAAGGACTGCTTTGCTTATAGGGCAGCAACACACCACTCACTCTATGACATTTCCTCCAAAAGAAATACAGAAAAAGAGAGGAGCGACCAATGTGTGATTTCAGATAAATCTCCTGTTGGTAAGTATTACACTCACCTTTTTCAGAGCCTTTAATGCCTGGCTCTGAGGGTAAATAGCAGAGTGCCACTTTTCTGGGGATGGCACTTCCCTACTGAAGATTCTTTGAGGCTTTAAGGACTTGATTGGAATAGCGTATAAAAATAAAATTAAAATGTATTGATAACAAATAAAAACATGTAGTAGATATTGTAAAAATAAAAGTACCAAGGGGCACTCCTGCTGCCCAACATACCATCCCCACGATTCCCCATCACCAATGGCACGCGCCAGGGATGCCCCTTATCACCCATACTATTTGCCCTCTCCCTGGAGCCTCTGCTCCAGGCAGTGAGCTCCAGCACAGAGGTAGAAGGGATCACAGTACGGGGGGAGTCATTCAAGATCTCGGCATATGCCGATGACATTTTACTGACCCTGACCAACCCAGAACGATCACTATGTCCCTTTCTAGCCATAGTACAAGAATACTCAGAAATTGCAGGATACAAACTCAACCTAACTAAATCCGAACTACTCCCTATACAGATAGACCCTCAAAGCCTAGCCAGAATACAACAAACATTCCCGCTGCAGATACGCCATACGTCAATAACATACCTGGGGATTCAGCTTCCCGCAGCCATCTCATATTTATATGCCAAGAACTATACCCCACTTTTACTAAAAGCACACGAAGACCTGACCAAATGTAAACCCTTTGGAATATCATGGCTGGGACGCATTGCCTCCATTAAAATGAACCTCCTCCCTAGATTCCTATACCTCTTGCAGACCCTTCTAATACCACTCCACAAACCGGATTTCAAAGCCCTACAATCGGCAATCGAAATATTCATATGGAACGGACGCAAACCAAGGGTCTGCAGGAGCACAATATACGTGCCCAAGAAATGTGGAGGACTGGGCCTCCCAAACTTCACACATTATCACTCTGCGGCACAATTAGCACAGATACAGCACTGGCATGTTCCCCCTGGAAAGAAACGATGGGTGGACCTGGAACACCTGATTTTCGGATGGGACCACTCTTCCCTATATATGTGGGTACCTAAACCACACAGACCCCTACCCCCACCGACCGCTCCCGCAATTAGCCACGCACTAGACTTATGGGATAAAATGAGAGATAAATACGACTTATCGTCATTCCTCTCACCCATGACCCCGATCTGGAGGAACAAACTGTTGCCTCCAGGCCTCACCCCCAAACATTTCTCCCAGTTCGAACAGAGAGACATATCAAGAATAGGACATCTATATCAGGACAATGAAATCATTCAATTCACAGATATCACGGAGTCATCATCCCTCACAATGTTCGACTACTTTCGATATATCCAACTACGCAGTTTCGCAGCGACCCCAAGCATCAAACAAGCTGGCACGGCCCCACTCACTAGATTCGAACGCGACTGCGCGATCCACCCGAACAGACAGGGACAAATTTCAGACATCTACATGACCATAGCCAATCACTCCACGCACCGCTCCCTCCCGTACATAGCAGCATGGGAGGCGGACCTCGGCCCCCCAGAAGACGCAACAGACTGGTCGGACATATGGGAAGCAACAGCCTCCGTTTCCATCTGCGTGACACACACAGAACAAGCATATAAAATGCTATTCCGCTGGTACCTCACACCACACCGCCTTGCCATCATGCACCACATCTCATCAAACACCTGTTGGAAACAAAGTGGGGAAAAGGGGACGTTCCTCCACTGCTGGTGGATGTGCCCGAAACTCAAACCACTATGGCAGAGCACCGCTCAGCTAATAACCAAAATATTGCACAAACCCTGCCCCATAGACCCCTGGGCCATGTTACTCTCTAAACCTATAGAACCATTCACGAGAGCAGAAAACAAACTGATCGCCCGAATAACTTTAGCAACACGCAGAGCCATTGCAAAGCTCTGGTAAACGACCCGCATACCAACACAAGAGACGATCACAAGGAAGATAACGGAAAGCTCGCATATGGCCAAATTTACAGCACAAATCCGAGACACTCCCAAACAGTTTCACAAAATAGGGGACCCATGGCTAGAGGGAGATACAACCACCCCGTGGTGACCCACCCAAACCCGAAACATAAAAACACAACCCCAGGACAAACACCCAAGAATCCACCACACACTCCCTCAAACACACATCAACTCTAACACTAGCCTTTCACTACCCATGGCTCCTTCACAGTCTGAACGAGAGGGCGCGGCGACCAGGGCGGCACGCGGGCTACAACCCCGACCCCTCAGCCAATATCTTCCCAACCTACCCCCACATCCTACATCACCCCTCCCCCAAGCTATCCACAAAAAGGATACAAACAGCATCCAAGAAATAAGAAAACGAACAGACGACAATAGAACCTCTACCTTAACAGGATAGATTGACACATGGGGACTAAAAGCGAGGACCACCAGGGTGGCCACGGGAGACATTGCCCCGGGAACCAGCCACAACACAAGACCCAAATGGATTATACCATAACCCCGACCACTCCGGTAACCCACTTATGAAGCATAGGGGGCAAACTAACAAACCCACTAATGCCACACACACACCCAGAAGACAGACCTCAGACCGGGACATGTCACCCAGGACAGAACACTCAACAGGAGCCCAACTACAACCCTAGCAGAAAAGCACACAAACCCATTCCTGGGTACCTAACTCCGAACTGACCACCTTCGCCACACCCCACTGCATCCTTCTGAGGATGAAACATAGGTATACACAGACACAGAAAGTTAACCGATAAAGGTGTACCACGCCGAACATTGCTCACAAAATCCACTACCTGTATATGCGACTGTATTAACATGGTTAAAAGAGTACCCTGCGATGGTACACACACGAATGGAAGACAATGTAATAACCCAACCCCAACCTCCCGTCTCTTTCTTCTGTATCCCTTCCCTTCAATACTGGTATCTACTCAAAAAACTGTAAATAAAGAATTATAAAAAAATAAAAAATAAAATAAAAGTAAAAATGGAATTAAAGTCCAATATAAAGTCTAGATTGCCTAAACTCGTTTCACTCATCCATGAGTTTCCTGACTACAGCTGACTGAGGAAGCTTATGGATGAGTGAAACGCGTTTTGGCAATTTGGACTTTATATCGGACTCTAATTCCATTACAATATTTTTACAATATATACTACATGTTTTTATTTGTAGGGGCAGGGTGCAGGGGAGAGCACTAAGGGACAGGAGGGGAGAAGAGATCACTAAGGGACATGGGGGGCAGGGGAGATCACTAAGGGTGGGGGAGAGACCACTAAGGGAAAGATGGGGGGGGGAGAGACCACTAAGGGAAAGATGGGAGGGGAGGGGGGCGACCACCAAGAGAAATATGGGGGTGGGGGCCTGGGGGCATCTCTACTCATATATAGACACACCGAAACATACAATGCATTCTACTCTCACACAGAAACACACCATGCATCCATTACACACAAACACACACAAACAAAGCAGCCCTTGCACACATACACAGAAGCACACACTGATTCTCTTAATGCATCTGTTACACTAAATGCACCCATTACAGACACACACTGCATTACATTACACAGAAACACACCTTGCATCCCTTACACATACAAACATAGATTTACACAATACATCCCTTACATACATACACATACACACTGCATCCCCTACACACACACACACTACATCCCTTACACAAACTGGTATCCATATACATTACATTCCATAAGAACACACACATTACATCCTCTCCAATAACACATAACACATCCTCTACACAAATACACTCCACTCCCTGTGAGCGAACTCATGGGTGGGTCTTGTAGGCATAAGGCTTATGGGCAGGCCTTGTAGGCATACTCATGGTCAGGCCCTGGGGGCCCAGACCGTGATCTGTGTAAGGGGCCCCAGAAAATGGAGCTGCTTCTAGTTTGTTTATTTTTGTGAGCACTGCCTCCAGAGAGCCTGTTTTAACACCAGACCAGTGGAGCTAGACTGCAGCCTGAGCTTTTTATTCTCATCTGGTGGTAAGTAGGCAGTCCAGTATATTATTAGTGGCACTAATCTCTAATTTACCTCACATTAAAGGGACACTATAGTCACCAGAACCACTACAGTTTAATGTAGTGGTTCTAGTGTCTATAGCCAGTCACTGCAGGCTTTTTAATGTAAACACACTGCGTTTTAGAGAAAAGACACTCTGTGCAGCACTGGCGTTGGCTCATATGGCAGATCATATGGGTAGGCCATTATTGATAACACATGGTGGGCAGAGCATATGGGGGGCGGGGGGAGGCAAATTTTTGTTTGCCTAGGGCGGCAAAAATCCTTGCACCGGCCCTGCTGAAGTGTGAAATAAAGAGCTTGAAGATATAAAGTTGAACAGATTAAAAAAAAAAGTTAAAATGCACGAGGATGTGGCCCTGGTTTCTTAATATTTATTCCATCCTCTATTTGGCTAAATAGTCAAACACAATGATGGAATAAATAATAAGAGGCTATGACTGTTGCAATTAGCATGGTTCTGCTATATTGGAGGCAGTGGCACGAGTCAGGGACTCACTGGCTGCGGAGAGTTGAGAAAATAAATTCTCATGGTGGATCTTAATTGATCCCAGGAAAAATATTTGGCTTCTGTTTATCAGCGATCACACTTGACACCAGAGGATTCATCTTAAGTATTATGTTTGTTTTTAAATTCCATTCCCGCCCTTTCCCTCCTTGGTTGCATTTTCCCTGTATTCATCCATCTTTTCTTTCTTTTTCCCATCTTGTTTCCTGCAATACTTTATTACTTTATCCCTGTATTTTAGCACAGGATTTTTTTGTTTGTATATTTTCTATTCACCTAGTCGGTTTTTGAAAGGGATTAAGGCCCTTTTTCTTGTGTTCCTGAGTACAGTGTCTTTCTTGCTCTTTGGTTAAATCTTTACTTCTCTTTTTTGGTACTTAAACTTTATCCACCCGGGATTTCTATTTTTTTGTTTGTATATTCTTGTACAGTTCACTTGTGTTGTGTGTTTTGGTTTTTCAGTAATGTTAAATATTTTTTTTTAAATAATTTGAGACTATGTTAAATTAGAACTGGCCCATCTCCACATTTACCCTAGTGCCCGAACACTCACCTTCTACTTATACACACTTACCTCATGCATACTCACAGAATATTCTACATGTACACACACATCCTCATACATGTATTCACTCACCCTTCTTTACATGTACGCACTTATTGTTATACATGGACATACTCACCCTTCATAGTCACATGCAAACACTTTCCCATACACATACAAACCAGCACTTACCCTAATAAATACATAAAGATAACATACTGATTCTTTAAATCTGTCAAACTGGCGGTGGTTAAGCTGTGGAAAAATGGACAACCAGAAATAGCAGGGTTGAAAATGTGGGCCCAATAAAGCACCCAGGACCTTCTTAAAGATCACAGACTTTGTTGTGAAGCCTTTTCAGGTTCCACAAGGGCCACATGTTCTATTACAAACCCAAATTTACAGCCATACATGGCACATAGTTACATAGGCTGAAAAGAGACATGTGTTCATCAAGTTCAGCCTTCCTCACATTTGTTACATAGCTTGCAAGATGAAGGAAGGTCAGTCACCTTGTGCTCCCCACACATGTAATTATAATCCCCAAATTATAACAGTGCATGGCAGAAGCCATTATTGGTCCTTGAAATGTGAAATGGATGGCAATCCTACCTGACAAGAATACTGGGAAATAAAATACTCTTTTACCGCTGGTCAAATAAAATGTAAGTGCATTAAGTCATTAATTGGCATTATCATAAAATACATATTAGTATTTATTCTGCGCATGTTGATTGTTTTTCACCTGCATTCTCAAATGCACATATTTTATAGAGATGTACAGATGGCCTTGGAAATATAATTACAGAAAATGGTCATTGTCCTTATAGTTAAAATCAGGAAGTACCTTGTCCTGCACTCCAGCAAATTCAATTATCTGTTTGGCAACGGCAGCATGTATTGGATTCATCTCCACAGTGAGGAGGCGAGCGCCGGGTTTAAGTAGCCGGGCAATTCTGGTAGCCGAGTATCCACAGTACGTGCCTAGTTCCAGCAACACTGATGGATCAGTCTCCTTCACTATCTGATCCAGGATCAGGCCTGAAAAGTAGAATCATTTATGGCACCATGGACATAAATGAAAAATTCTTGACTTTTATTAATTCAGTTAAAATGTTCCAGAGTAGGCTAATAGTACATGTAATAAACTGTGATATAAGCTATCTAGGGATCTTAATAGGCATCAAAACGTAAGGAAACATATCTTTTCATTAACAGTAGGGATAACGATGATTATAGAAATTGTACTCTAGTCGTCTGAACAGATGAGAGACTTATACAGCTAAGAAGATTAAGGAACTTACTGAGAATACTTTGGAAAAAATGTCACACAGATTAAAGCAATCTTAATCACAATAAAGTATATTGCCCTTTAAATTCAGTCACATAAGTTGTCAAACAATCGCTGAAAAACATAGATTTTTTTTCTCAAAAAGACTATACTTAACATGAGGTCACAGTAACCCTTTAAAAACGTTGCAGTTCGCGCTTCCGTGATTGCGAGAATGCGTAATTTACAATAAGAATCCTTAATCCTCTCCTAATGCAAAAGGCGGTACCACATAAAACTACCAGGAGACCAACTCAGATCCATATTCCAATGTTAGATGATCCAAGCACACTGTAGTAGTTATGGTGTCAGGAGTGCCCTGGCATCCCCCAATTGTTTGTAGCCAAACTGCTTTGGGAAGGTTTGATTTCTTACCAGACGTCATCCAGGCACTACTCCTCACCTCCTATATTGATGCTGTTGAGCCAGAAGTTCCTAAGCAAAAACGTCAGTAAGCTCTCTTGAGCTCCTGAGCTGTCGCGCTCAGCCAATGAGTTAGACCTGCAGGGCTTAGCTCAGGAGAGCTATGAAAAGTTCCTACATACAAGCTTTCAGGTTCCCAGCACTCCTAGTGGAGGTAGAGATCAACACCTGGCAGACCCAGGTATGAATTCAAACTATTTAAAAACTATTTGATGACTTACAATAGGGTGTGGGGTGCTACGGCAGTCCTGGCATACAAACCCCTAGAGCAAGTGCTAGTGGTTATGGTACTTGGAGTGTTGATTTAATTTTCTATATAAGCAAATGTTTTCTGCGCTATGGTAGTCGTTGCCGTGCTTGGAGGTTTCCTTTAATTGCCCACCCCCATGGTAAAGACGGCTTTTTACCTTTCTCATCTCCAACATTCATGGCCCATTCCTTCTGGCTGCAGTATTGGTCAATGGCGTCCACCACACTCTTCGGGTCACCACGGGTAGCATTCTTCAACACGTAGTCCAGGATTCTGTGTTCCTTAAGTTGAGCCATATCTGTAACCCAGGAAATACATTCATACCCAATATTATCACAGCAACATATAGTAATAACAGATTTATATGAGCTATGCTTTGCTAACATATTGAGAAGTATTACACCGTGTCAAACTGCATCACTAACTATTTTGCACTTATTAAGAAAATAAAAACAATTTTGTATTCCATTACAGATGCTGAAAAGCATACAGATCTCCCACCTACCCCAGCAGTGCCAATTCAAACTGACAGCACAGATACTGCATTATATATAAAAGACTATCACTTCTCAATGCACCTCGTTTGCAGTGTATATCCAGGGTATGAGGCTATATTTTTAGTTATCAAGTGACTGAATTTTCTCACCAGCATCCTTGTGTCTCAAAGCACATTATTCTTTTAAATTGTAAGTTCACATCTTAATGTAGTGGTTCTGGTGTCTATAGCCTGTCCCTGCAGGCTTTTCAATGTAAACACTGACTTTTCAGAGAAAAGGCAGTGTTTACATTGCTTCCTAGTGACAAACACTCAGATGGTCACTAGAGGTGCTTCCTGTGTCAGTGCGGATTGGCTGAGATCATCAAACTTGATGATCTCAGCCATAGAGGCAGGACCAGTCAAGGGGAAACAAGCACGACGTGGTGGTAAACACCTTCACAGACCCACTCACACACACACTAATAAACACCTTAACAGACTTACTCACAGACACTAATAAACACCTTCACATACACTAATAAACACCTCCACAGACACTAATAAACACCCCCACAGACACTAATAAACACCTCCACAGACACTAATAAACACCCCCACAGACTTACTCACAGACACTAATAAACACCTTCACAGACCCACTCACACACACTAATAAACACCTTCACAGACCCACTCACAGACACTAATAAACACCCTCACAGACTTACAGACACTAATAAACACCTTCACAGACTTACTCACAGACACTAATAAACACCTTCACAGCCTTACTCACACACACTAATAAACACCTTCACAGACCCACTCACACACACTAATAAACACCTTCACAGACACTAATAAACACCTCCACAGACTTACAGACACTAATAAACACATTCACAGTCCCACTCACACACACTAATAAACACCTTCACAGACCCACTCACAGACACTAATAAACACCTTCACGGACTTACTCAGACACTAATCAACACCTTCACAGACTTACTCACAGACACTAATAAACACCTTCACAGACACTAATAAACACCTCCACAGACTTACTCACAGACCCTAATAAACACCTTCACAGACCCACTCACACACAGGGCCGGACTGGCCCACCGGGATACCGGGAAATTTCCTGGTGGGCCTTTGGCACCTGGGGCCAGGCAGACACCTGGGTCTGCTGGCGGCCGTTGGGGAGGTTTTCTGGCGACCGCTGGGGGACTTGTACTGGCGGCCATTGGGGGAGCTGCGCTGGCTCTGCTCCCCAGTGCTCAGCTGAATGAGACCGGCGCCGGAATATGACGTCATATTCCGGCGCCGGTCTCATTCAGCAGCGCGCAAGGACGGGAGAGCAGAGCCAGCGCAGCTCCCCCAGCGGCCACCAGTACAAGTCCCCCAGCGGCCTCCAGAAGACCTCCCCAGCGGCCTCCAGTACAAGTCCCCCAGCGGCCGCCAGCAGACCTCCCCAGCAGCCTCCAGTACAAGTCCCCCAGCGGCCTCCAGAACACCTCCCCCTGGCAGGTATTAGTAATGTGTCAGTGTGGGGGCTAGCACAATTTTTTTTTCCAGGGCTGCTTTGTATCCCCAGTCCGGCCCTGCTCACACACACTAATAAACACCTTCACAGACCCACTCACACACACTAATAAACACCTCCACAGACTTACTCACAGACCCTAATAAACACCTTCACAGACACTAATAAACACCTTCCCAGACTTACTCACAGACACTAATAAACACCTTCACAGACCCACTCACACACACTAATAAACACCTTCACAGACACTAATAAACACCCTCACAGACTTACAGACACTAATAAACATCTTCACAGACTTACTCACAGACTAATAAACACCTTCACAGGCGAACTCACAGACACTAATAAACACCTTCACAGACCCACTCACATACAATAAACACCTTAACAGACACTAACAGACAGCCTCACAGACCCACTTACACAAACACTCTAAAAACAAATCACTCTCACAGCAACATTTTCGTTCAAACATCACACATAGTCACACTGATATGCTGGACTTTCACAAACACTATTCACAGGCACTGTCCATTGTTTAATAAAAACACCAGAACGCATCTGTCTCTCAGCCCCACCTCTCACGTCTGACTGTTTTTTCACAGTTGCCAGTCACCATGTTTATCTCTCTGTTCCCCAGCTCTTCCCCCTTCCTACCGCCCACGTCTGTCCCAGTTCCCCCCACCAAAATTATAAAAATAAAAAAAACTACTGAGCTACGTGATCCCACTTGCTAGCCTAGCCCTGCACAGGCTGGAAATCATCCCTGACACAGACTGGGAGCACCGAGCATCTGCAGGCTGTCTCTGGATAATAACGAAATCTGTCCATTAATTCTTCATGAATCTGGAGTCGTGTAAAGAGTGCCGAGTACAACAGAGCACACAGTGAGCTGCTCCCTGTTCCAATCACAGGAGCGACGGACTGAGACAAATACTGACAAATAATAAAAATGTCTCCGTTCCAAACACAGTCAATAGAACACTCAGGTATCCAATGCTGACAGCGCACAGAGAGAGTTAGCGTCAATCCGAAGAGCTCAGTACTTACTTCTAGTCTCTGTAACAGCAGGTTCAGGAAAGATGTTCCGTTTCAGGTCACATGGGTGGCTGACTTTGTTCTGCCTATACCAGGGAAGTGACTCTGCAGAAAGCCTGTTTATTTCAGCTATAATTTAATTTGGCAAAGTACTGTAATTTGGTCTTGTTTCATGTGGTAAATCCTGCAGTGTCCTCGTTTAACCTGCAGAGGGCGCAAATGGCACGGTAGGAAAGCATACATTGACTACTACAGAATCCAGCCTGGATGGATGGATACAGTGTCTGTCTGCATGGAATGTTCCGGAAATGACACCACTGAATACAACACTGAAACTCACTCATAAAACTACTGTTATTAGTTGGGGGTCTCTCCGAAATGTACTTATATTCTATGAAAACATACATGAAATGATGAATTTTAGGAGACATAATAAATTGTGTCCTTTAAACTTTGCTTTCACTAAAGAATCATCCATGTGCTGAAATCCCAGCCTTGCAGACCTTTGGCATTCTAGTAGTCAGTTTGTTGTGGTAATCTGAATAAATTTTGGCTGTTGGAGCAGCTTGGCTCTATAGTTAGAAGTGTCCATCAAGTAATTTCTGCCTTTCACCTCTCTGCAAAGGTGGAATAAGATCATGGCCATAAACTTCAATGATGGCAATGGGAATCCTAGTGCAAAAAAGTGTTTGGCCACTGGGAGCTCTGCCTTGTCCCTATATGCCGTGCGTATGTTTGACCTGGTTCCTCGTGTGTTCTCGCAAAGGAAGATCAGTTGGTTTCTAAATATGATAGAATGCATGGACACTGAAGTTTATAAATCACAAAGTCTGAAGTATAGGTCAACCTATGTCAGATTTAATATTTCCTTCCAGTATGAGGGTGAGTAAAGAATTTGCTAGGATGTTTGAACTTGCACCATGTCTTTAATCTGTGGTTGGGCCTTCAAGGGTTTGGAGTTATTTCTCATCACTCTCGTAAACTGTGAGAGGGGGTAGAGAAGCTTTCAAATGTTTAGGGTGGAAATTGTCCGCATGTAGAAAAATATTCCTGTATGTGTACTTGGTATACAGACTGTAAGATAATTTAGTATTGGTTTTATATATATATGGATATCAAGAAAATCCACACCATCTGGGCTTGCAGTCATAGTTCACTTGAATGGTGTTGGTGCATTGTTAATCTCTTCGATCATGGGGTAACTGAATTGATATTTCCCTTCCAGATAATAAGAACATCGTTAATGAGGTGGCTGTAAAACAAGATGGTTTTCTCATATGGCTGTAAAATGTGTTGTTTCAAAAATGTACATGTACCCACTGGCATGCATACAGGAGCCATCGATGTTCCAGATGTTTGTTGGTACCAGCTGTATTCAAACCTAAAATAATTCTGGGTAAGAACGAATTCCAAGAGTTCAAGAGTATATTCAATGGGAGGACCACTATACACTGTAGAGACTTTCAATAGGTGCTGCATGGCATTAAAGGGACACTACAGTCACCAAAACAACTACAGCTTAATGTATTTGTTCTGGTGAGTAGAATCATTCCCTTCAGGCTTTTTGCTGTAAATACTAGTGATAACTGCACTGGCCACTCCTTAGTTGGCTGCTAGAGTTGCTTCCTGGAGCAGTGCTGCATAGTGAGCAGCACTGCCATGCACTGTCTCCAGCCTCTGCATGCAGACACTGAACTTTCCTCATAGAGATGCATCGATTCAGTTCATCTCTATGAGGAGATGCTGATTGGCCAGGGCTGTGTTTGACTTGCTCTACCCCTGATATGCCTCCTTAAAAGTCTCAGTCAATCTTATGGGAAAGCATTGTGATTGGCTCAGACCACCACTTCTGATGATGTCAGCAGACACAGGCAGTTTCAGAGGCAGGTAGAGGGAGAGCCAGTAGCTGCAGACTTGAATACAAGTAAGATTTTACTATATTTAGGGAGTCAAGGGGTGCCCAGTGGGGCTAGTTGGTCGTTTTAACATAATAGGGTCAGGAATACATGTTTGTGTTCCTGACCCTATAGTGTTCCTTTGATACCTTTTGTATATGGTATGATTGTATACAAGCCATAAGATTTCCTTTTCCCACAGAAATCTTACATTTGCAGTGATGTTACTACTGCAAGGGATTCTTGGTGGGCTTATGCAAACTCAGCTGTGTATGTTGGTCACATTTATGGTTTTGCACTATTTTTTTTCTTAAGCTCTTTACACTTTGGTTTTGTAAGTCTTATGGCTTGACTGGTGTGTGCAGATCTGTGCTTAACAGTGTATTGACTATCCACTGACTTCAGGTGGAAATGCTTTCATTCACTTTTTTCTCCACCATAACTTTTTTGGTTTATATATACATCACAAGCAAATCCATTCCAGGACACTCATGATACACATTGTGGCGCCTGGTTGCACTTTGTATGAGCTCCGGACTTGATAATCTATAACTCTTAGAAGTCCTGACTACCTACCTACATTGACAACTACTTCGAGATTTACCCAATCTAAGAGCTGATAGAGGGTCCTTTGATCGTGCAGACAGGCCGCAGGGCTTACCTAAAAATGGATCTCTCGGCGAGGCCTTGTAGAGCTGCTTGGGGGGAGAGACGGGCGATCTTCTGTCTCATGGAACGCTGTGCCTCCTACACTTACCAGATAGCCCAGTTTCCCCTGCCCCACACTGGATTGCACAACAGAGTTCTGTGGCATTACCTACGAACCTTGCTACCAAGCTTTCCCCACCAAGATGGCGACTATACCTACCTCTGGTGGCTTTGTACACAACCCTGTTTTGAGCACCCAAACCCAGCCGATCGACTACTATAGCTGCTTGAGAAACACTTTGCTCGCTATTGTGCCTCATTCGAGGCATGTCAGTTGGCTACTTCATCATAGCATTATAAATGCGTTATATTTCCTCTTGATATATAAAAATTATATATCATTTTCTTTCTGTCACTACATGTCTGAAGTCGTGTGTTGTGATGCTATTGATCCTCAGGGCCGTCTATAATATGAATAGGACCCCGGCAAAGCCTTTTCCTGGGCCCCCTGGGCCCTGTCACTGCACCCTCCCTTCCCATTACGCCCAACCCGCAATCACACTGACAGACATACTGACACATACACACACAGACAGACACATTAAAACATTTGCAGATACATACTGACACACACATACACTGACACAAAAATATATACTGGCAAACATTGACACACATTCAGACATACTGATACACACACAGACACATACATACTCACAGACACATACACTGACAGATATATTGACACAGACACACACAGACACATACACTGACAGGCGTATTGACATACACAGACATACTGACATACACACACACACACTGGAACACAGTGAGACATACTGACATACACACACAGACATACTGACATACAAACACACAGACATACACACAGTATGTCTGTGTGTGTTAGTATGTCTGTGTGGTGTGTTAGTATGTCTGTGTGTGTATGTCAGTATGTCTGTGTATGTCAGCATGTCTGTGTGTGTATGTCAGTATGTCTGTGTGTGTTAGTATGTCTGTGTGTGTGTCAGTATGTTTGTGTGTATATATGTCTGTGTGTGTGTGTGTGTATGTCAGTATGTGTGTGTGTATGTCTGTGTGTGTGTATGTGTCAGTATGTCTGTGTGTGTGTGTATGTCAGTGTGTCTGTGTGTGTATGTCAGTATGCCTGTCATAGACACACACAGACATACTGACATACATACACAAACAGACATACTGACACAGACATACTAACACACACACATACTAACACACAAACACATACTAACACACTAACACACTAACACACAGACACAGACATACTAACACACACATACTAAAACACACACACAGACATACTAACACACACACACAGACATACTAACACACACACATACAGACATACTAACACACACACACACACACACAGACATACTAACACACACATACAGACATACTAACACACACACGTACAGACATACTAACACACACACACAGACATACTAATACACACAAACACAGACATACTAACACACACAGGCATACTAACACACACACATACTGACATACATTTAGCCACCCTCCAGTTTCTTACCTTTTTATGGAGGGTGGTTTCCCTGGGGTCCAGTGGCAGGCTGAGGCAGATGAGAGTTCTTCTCTGGAACTCCCCTCCTCCCTGCCTTCCTCCTCCCGCGCGGCTATCTCCGGTGGGAGGAAGTGACACGCGGTACTTACTTCCTCCCAGCCGGTACAGGAAGGGGCCCGGTCGCGCTGTTTAAGCGTCACAGCGCCCGACCGGGCTGCCACATGCCCACAGGGTGGCCCTTAGTGCATGGGCCACCCGGGGGCCTCCTTAGTTGGCGGGCCGGTGCGGCTGCACCGCCGGCCGCCGGGTACATGGGGGCTGCTGAAATCGCGGGGCCCACGGGGCAGCTGCTCTGGGGCCCCCCAGGAGCAACTGGGCCTGGGGCAGCTGCCCTGTTTGCCCCGCGCTAAAGACGGCCCTGTTGATCCTAGTAATGACATCTCCTTTGTACAAACATCTCAATAAAAATGTGAATGTCAAAAATATATATATATATATAAAAAAACAGTAGGGTTTATGTATAAAGAATAAATCTGGGCCAGGATGAATGCAAAGCCGAGTTAAAAAACAAACAAAAAAAAACACACCTCCACACACTTGTTCAAGGCCACATCGCCTAATGTGCACTTGACATCCACATAAAGACATTCCTTCCTTAGTGCTGTACATGCATACCCATCAGTATGGTACTGTTGGAGTTAAATTTAGACAGAACTTAAGGATATGACATAAGCAAGCAAGAACAGCAAACTTCAATTCTGGCACAAGAATAAGGAACCAGGAACCTCCAAGATCCTCTGCAAACTGGGACCAAGGAACTTGGCATCGACAGAAATGCTTATACAACAAGCAAGCATTACACCTGGTTTCTTGATAGAAAGTGAGTTAGTAAGTGGTCCCCTTTTGAGTTGGATATGGTACTTTCTTATTAGGACCAGGGGGCTTGATGACCCCTAACCCACCATTATTCATTAATCTGCACCACTCAGACTAGAGGATTATGGAGAGGGTGAGGTCTAATTGTCTGGCTATCACCTGCTTTTGACTATCCTTCACCCCACCACATTGGTGGAGGAGGGCAAGTTCTCCCAATAAATGAGGACCCTCATATGCCTTTTTTTGGTGGAAGGGCTATTTGCTGTGCCTTCAGTGGTTTTGGGGATCTCTGTGGTTGTGGTGGCAGATGCTGGGCAGATCCCAGGTAAAAGACAAATACTTATCAGATGGTTTGACTACTTACCCTGGGAATGGGCCAGGGCCTGTTTGACACCATAACCACTACAGTGGGCTGTAGTGATTATGGTTCTTGGAGTGTTTCTTAAACGTATTAATTTTGTCATTTTTTAATTACTGTAAGTCTTCCTAAAGCATATTAAGTTTAGGTCTATTTTTTTAAATAGAGTCCTAATGACATAGCATTTAGGGGTAGAACTGATACTCCACACCTTAAAGTGGAACTGTCAATTACCTGGAAATTACATAATTGAATAAAACATTATAAATAACTTAAAATGTGTTAATTTTATTTCATGTAATTCTTATTAAAGGGACACTATAGTCAGCAAAACAACTTTAGCTTAATGAATTCGTTTTGATGCATAGATCATGCCCATTCAGTCTCATTGCTCCATTTAGGAGTTAAATCACTTTTGTTTCTGTATATGTAGCCCTAGCCACACCTCCCCTACCTGTGACTAACACAGCCTGTATGAAAACTAAATGGTTTCATTTTCAATCAGATGTAACTTACTTTAAAAGTTTTTATCTCCTGCTTTGTAAATTTAATGTTTATCACACAGATGAGGCTTTTTCAGGGTCTTGAAGGCTATTAATAGAGCAGGAGATGATAAATTTGAAACTAAATAGAATGTGCAATAAAGGAAGTATCAAAATTAGATGACTCTTTACAGGAAGTGTTTAGAGAGGCTGTGTAAGTCACATGCAGGGAGAAGTGACTAGGGCTGAATAAACAAATTAAGGGGGTAAGACGAAGTAATATCAGGATTGTCATTACGGCCTTTATACGTCCGAGGCCTACCGAGCTTCAGGCGCCGACAGTAAGGAGAGGCAGCTGATCCTCTGACACCAAGCAAATAACTTGGTGCGGAACACCCAGAGCCCTTCCCACCCTCCTCCCCTTGAACCGGCAGGGGATATCCCAGTCCCCACTGGGCCACAAAGCTAACACACTCATCAGCTCTGTGCCGACAGACTATTATGTCACATGGCGTGACCAAGATAGCCACGCACGAATTTACACAGGGTCAATTAAGCCTAGAGAGCCAGCAATGAAAGGAGGCCTTTGAAGCAAAGTTTGATGCTATCAGCCAAGCATGCCATATCTCTCACCCCAAGTGCTCACCTCTCTGGCTGTACGATTATCCCACATTGTAGGCTCAGTCACCTGTTCTTCTTCTGGGCCAGGGGCCAAAATTAATATATTTCCAAGCCCCAGCCCATTTACTCATGGTGAACTCTGAACCAGGGAGGACACATGGACCCAAGGTCAAGCCACAGAGGCTCAGTCACCTGTTCTTCTTCTGGGCCAGGTGCCAAATTGGATCTATTTCCAAGCCACAGACCATGTACTCATGGTGGACTCTGAACCAGGGAGGACACATAGACCCAAGGTAAAGCCACAGAGGATAGGAGGATCTATGGCCTTATTGGAGCAGCTCCCATTGAGGACTGGGGCCGAGGTTACGGGAGCCTGAAACTATGGGCTTTACAACCCACTCATCAGCCGTGACTTCAGTGGAGCCTAGCCCTTCTGATGACTACACAAGGGAGCAAAGCATCTAATGTTCGCAGTACAAAAAGCAGCGGGAGTTCCAGCACTGCTTAATGAGTTTCGAGGCAGAAAAACCGGCAACCACTTCTGGCAGGAAACTGGAGGTTAGCATTGGGTGAGCGAATCTATCGTTCAGTGCCAAACTGCCTTCCTAGCATTTGAGTGGCTAATTCCTTTTATTTTTGTTTTTTTTATAAGCACTGCTAAGATACCAGTATATTTGGTTTTTGTTATTCTCTTTATCCCAGTGGTACTCAAACATACCGACTATCTATATTTGATTTTTCATGATTTTTCTCTCCTCCTCATGTCTACCAGTTTTTGTTCCTTTATAAGCATACAATACCAGTTTGACCTAGAAATGTATGTTAAGCATGTTATGAAGCACCTATTATTTTTTCTCATTTTAAAAACAGAGATGGGGCGGGGCCTGAGTTGCAGAGTTTAACCCCTTCATGACCATGGACGTATCTGGTTCGTCTGGCAGAAAACATTCCATAATGACCTTGGACGTACCTGGTACGTCTGCAGCTATTTTGAGCTCTGGAAGCTCTGATAGTATTGCAGTGATGCTCTGCATGTGCGGAGTGCCTCGAGGGGTCCTGGCACTCAGTGCATATATAATACTATATATTAAAAAATTAAATAGAAAAGAAATAAAATGATCAATATTAACCCCCATCCCTTTCTAAAGGCAGTGAATCATGGGGCTTCTGGGGGTGTCCCTAGCATGCCGCATCATAAGGGGCAGGCTGGGGTCATCCAATCACAGCTTGCCCCATTAGCAATTTCATCCCAAGTGTGTTCCCCATTTCTCTGATTAGTGTGGATCTGCCTCCCTCTCCTCACTTGTGCTTTAGTGAGAGAAGGAGAGAGATCTGTGGTTTAGCTAGAGAGATTTAGGTGTTTATAGGTAGGGATTTGTAAACTCTTGAGACCCAAAGGCTCTTTTCAGAGCCATTAACCCCTGTCTTGCCAGTGATCACTATAATCACCGGCTTTTGCACAGCAGTAATTGTCTGCTGTTTGTGCATATTTTTTTTCTTTTTTAGGGGTTCATTTTTTGTGAATTTTTTTTTTTTGAGACCCAAAAGCTCTTTTCAGAACGATTAACCCCTGTCCTGCCTGTGATCACTCTGCAGATCACAGGCTCTTGCACAGCAGCACTTATTTTGCTGTCTGTTAATTTTTTTTTTAGGGGTTATTTTTTTTTTTTTGTGACAGGTCACTAAGTAAAGCGATTGTGATCATGTCACATGGGTCACGGAAGTCAACCAGCGCTGAGCAGTCATATGCCACCCTTGCGCTAGAGTCTGACGCGTCTATGTCAGACTCTGACCCTGATTTTGACCCAGCCAGGTGCTCAGATACATCATCACTAGATACAGTGTCTGCTGCTAGTGATGCATCTAGTGATGTTGTATCTGTGCCTGCTAGTCCCCCTGCCCGAAGGAGACGTGCTGCTACAGCTGGCAGAACTGCTGAGGAGTGGGTAGTGCCTCATCGCCAGAGGCCAGACATCCCATCCTTTACTGCAAATCCTGGCATTAATTTGGATGTCACAGGATTTAGCCCTCAGCAGTTTATGGAGGTGTTTCTGGGCGATGATGTATTGGGGAACATTGTCGCCCAAACTAATTTATATGCCCATCAATTCAGAGCTACAAATCCTGACTCTTTTTTGGCAAAGCAGCAATGGGCCCCCATCGATGTGCCAGAATTTAAAAGATTCTGGGCATTGACTATGCTGATGGGCATCATAAAGAAGCCCTCCATCCGCTCCTACTGGAGCAGTAGCCCCATCTGCTCTACCCCCATTTACTCCCAATGTATGTCGAGGAAGAGGTATGAAATGATTCTGCATTTCATGCACTTCAACGACAACAGCCTGTGTCCCTCTAGGGAGCATCCCCAATTTGACAGGCTGTATAAAATCCGCCCCCTGATTACCCACTTCGCTGCCAGGTTTGCAGAGGCTTATACACCTGGAAGGAATATATGCGTGGATGTCCCTGATGAAGTATAAGGGAAGGCTGGGATTCAAGCAGTATGTTCCTTCCAAGCGCTCTAGGTATGGTGTAAAGATGTATAAGCTCTGTGATAGCGAGAATGGGTATATTCAGGCCTTCCGGGTGTACGAGGGAAAGGATAGCCACCTTGACCCTCCAGGTTGCCCAGAACATATGGGAACCAGTGGCAAGATTGTCTGGGACCTGATTTTCCCCCTCATGAACAAAGGGTACCACTTGTATACTGACAATTTTTATACAAGTGTCCCTTTGTTCAAGCTACTGTACTGTTTTGATACAGTAGCTTGCGGCACAATTAAAAAGAACAGCACAGGTTTCCCAGGACAACTTGCACGCACCCGGCTACGAAGGGGGGAGACCTCAGCTCTGCGCCAAGAGGAGCTGTTGGCAGTTAAGTACAGAGACAAGAAGGATGTGTACCTTCTTACCAGCATCCACACTGAGGGGACTGTGGAGGTCCCTGTACATGGCAGAGCTGAGAGGACAAGGAAGCCAGTGTCCATCAAGGCCTATAACCGGCACATGGGTGGGGTTGATCTGGCAGATCAGCTGCTGCAGCCCTACCTAATTATACGAAAGACAAGGGCCTGGTACAAAAAGGTTGCAATCTACCTGATGCAGATTGCAACCCACAACGCTTTCTTGTTGTTCAAAAAAGCAAACCCCGGGACGCAACTGAGATTTTTACAGTTTCAGCTCCAGATCATTTCGGGGATTTTGTACCGTGATGCACCTGCTCCCCGGGCGGTGATGGGAGAGAGCAGAGTTGGGGCTACACATTTTATTTTTAAAATCCCCCTACTGCGGCAAAGCAGAATCCCCAAAAAAGATGCAGGGTCTGTTCTAAGAGGGGGCAGAGAAAAGACAGTGTATATTACTGTCCTGATTGCCCTGGACAGCCTGGACTCTGCATTGGCGACTGCTTCAAACGCTACCACACGCTGGTCCATTTTTAATTTATTTTTTAACATTTGCCGTTCAGAGTTTTTTTGTTTTTTTGGGGGGGGGGTTCTTACATTTACCCCGTGCATGGGGGGCATGGGTGTCCTAAGGAGAAGCCTTGCAGAAAACCCCCTGGGGTGTGTTCTTGCAATAACCAACAGCGGGCTCTCCTAAATCACAGTCAAAAAGCAGTGTGTGTGTGTGTGTGTGTGAAAATGAGGATTGAACAGTTACCTCCACACGCGTTCTTCAACTGTTTTATTTTATTTATTTATTTTGGGTCTGGCTATAAAAAAAGAAAAAAAGGTTGCATCAAAGCACTCCACATGCAATACCTTGGGGTGTCTACGTTTCAAAGTGTGTATCCTTTCGTGGCGATCTATAAAACTGGGCTCTGTGATAAGCCCCAAGCTAAAGATAGGCCTATCAGAAGAACTACTCTCAATTTCAACTCAAACTGAAAAGTCATACAATTGTAACCATACCTTCCCAAAATCCTGGCGAGCCTATGCGTGGGGGGCATGGGTGTCCTAAGGAGAAGCCTTGCAGAAAACCCCCTGGGGTGTGTTCTTGCAATAACCAACAGCGGGCTCTCCTAAATCACAGTCAAAAAGCAGTGTGTGTGTGTGTGTGAAAATGAGGATTGAACAGTTACCTCCACAAGCGTTCTTCAACTACTGCAGGGTGTCAACTTTTCAAATACATGCACGCTCATGTCAAGAAAATACATTGGGATATCTGATAAGTCCCCCATAAGGTAGATCGGCAAAGAAGATATGTACAATTTGAAAAACGCATATCAGACATTTTGCTTTGCATCCCCCAGTGAACCCGACAAACATATGCATGCGTGGTATCGCTGTACCCGGGAGATGTTGCCGAGCACATATTGGGGTGTCCTTTGGCAGGAACACCTAACAGGAGGTTAGAATTTATGCTCAAAGTAGAATGTGTGAGTGAAAAAGTGAACATGAATGTGTGAGTGAAAAAGGACATCACAAAAACGTTTGACAGAGACTGGTGGTAGAATAAGTGCATGTAAAGTTTTGAAATGCCACCATGTGAAATGCCCTAGGCTGTGTACTTTTCCAAAACATACGGTTTGACGGAGGTGAATTACATTGGCTGGCTTCAGAAATGTTCCAACTGGGACATGGGGGCATGATGGCCAGCTGTGTTTTATGTCTCATCATATTTCACTTTTTTTTATTCTAGTAAATCATATGATATGATGAAAATAATGGTATCTTTAGAATGAACATTTAATAGTGAGGTAAACGGTATACAATATGTGTGGGCACAGTAAATATATAAGAGGCAAATACATCTAAACACAGCCACTGCAGAAAAAGAGCCCTGGTCCTTAACGGTAATACAATTGAAAAATTGCCTGGTCACTAAGGGGTTAAAGGACCACTATCGGCACCCAGACCACTTCAGCTCAATGAAGTGGTCTGGCTGCCAGGCTCCTCTAGTTTTAACACTGCAGCTGAAAACATAGCAGTTTCAGAGAAGTTTCACTGAGGGTTTATCCAACCTCTAGTGGCTGTCTCACTGACAGCCGCTAGAGGCGCTTCCGTGATTCTCACTGTGAAAATCACAGTGAGAAGATGCTGGACGTCCATAGGAAAGCATTGAGTAATGCTTTCCTATGGGCGGTTTGCATGCGCGTGCTTTCGCGTTCATGACCAGCGGTACACTTCTGGTTCCTTTTTGGAACAATAATTTGATTTGATGCCATGCTAACATGCCTGGTGTCACACAGCTACTTGGTGACACTCCTTACAAGCCCCAACTCGCCCCCCTATGAACCTGTGGGGGTTATCCCAGCCCCCACTGGAGGTATTTGATGCCATGCTGTCAAGCAACCAAGCTTACCTAGCTCCTGAAGTCCTGCGCCTGGACATCTAAATGACGGCCTCGTGACCAATGACGGGCTTGAGGGCGTTAATTGTCTACAGGCAGCATGCACAGCACGGGTGTTTGTTGTCCACAGCTCCTACAACTGGACTATTTTTTTTTTACAATCTTTATTTTGTGCATAAGATGTTGTGTTCTACCCTGTGGTCTAGTCACCCAAGTTCTTCGATCATTAAAATATTATTGG